AGCATCCTTTTTTCTTTGACACAAAGCTGTGGTTTTGGGTTACTATTTAATCTCGGTGGCAGAGAGAGTAGTTGAGTTTAGTATTTCTACCCTATTTTTTCTTTATGAAAATGAAATAAAAAACCCCAAAAAAGTGTAAATTCCATTTTTGGAATTTACAAAATTGGAATGGTGTTTAAAAGAGAAAAAATAGTCTCTATGAGGGCACAGCTAAAATTGGAAAACAAGAACATTTCTACCTTAAACATTTTTAGTAATAACATATTGTACATAATTGTCATGGAAATAGAATATAGTCTTTGTAGTTATACATTAAATTTTCTCTTCATTAGAAATTTTGAAGTTTATGTGTTTATTTATGTAAATAACATAAAGAGACCAGTTTTTGTCTCAGGCAGTAGGATTGGTATTAAGAGATCCAGATTTAAATTATGTTTTTACCACTTGCCATGTTACCATGAACATGACCTCCTTGTAGTTCATTTTCTTTATGTGTAAAGTGGTAATAATAATATTAACCTCAAAGTGTTTATTTGAGATATAAGATAATGTAAGTTAAGTATGTAGTACTCAAAAAGATTTGTTGGCCCTTAACCTTAGATAAGGACATTTTCTAGTAGATGTGTTATGTCAACAAAGAAGGGGAAAGGAATATCAGTGAATCAGTTGCAGATAGAACACAGTAGCAAGAATTATTCTGAAACTACATTTATTATTAGTTTGTGGTCCCAAGCAGTTCAAATCACATCCATGGCTCTGAATTTTCTGACCTTAAGGTACAGATTCATTTAAATGTCCATTATATATAAGTTGCTGTAGTTATTTTTATGTTAAAATATTAATTTATTATTAAGAATAAAACACCTGGTTTATTTCATAGGCCAGGTGATCTTTGTTTTAGCTTATCCCTAGATTCTCTATTAGCTTGCTATAAAGGTATGAGGTGTGTGTGTGTGTGGGGGAGGGGTTTGTGTCATTACATTACATACATATTTACATTTTTATCTAATATGTACACATTTATGCTGTACACTTCTCATCTCTTTTTATTGTATCTAACAGGTACAATTACAAAGGACTTTATGAATTGCTACATGCGTGTTAAAGAATAACAGTGATTTTCAAACTTAGTACAGAATTCAATTAATTTTTATAGAAGACAGTATGTACCTGCCAAGTGGGTACTTTGAAAATGAAATTGTTTTTGATTGTGTGAAACTGCTTGAAAATGTGATTCTCCAAAGCTTTCTTTGTCTTATGGCAAGAAAACAGTGATATGGGAATTAATTATAATTATACACTCGAGGCTGGTTCTTCTTTTTTTAAAAATCAAAGCTTAAAAAAACTAAAGTTTCTCTGCACCAAGAGCAGTTATAAGACATTTGTATGTCCTGGATTTCAGATGGAAAGGGTCTACTGGTGGTGGCTTTGAGTAAAGGAATTGCCACTTGCACAAGAAATGGCATACTTTAGGGTATCCTTGTAACACATCTTTTCGGTATAAGGTGACATTTTCCTCTCCTCAGGGTTGCAGTATAATGAGTTTATATTATAGACTAAAACTCTAAACAGAAAGCACCTATTTATTCTGACAATGTGTCTTATTGAATGTCAGGAGCAAAATATCCACAACCGAATGTTGTTAGGGACCCGTTGTGTAACAGCTTCCTGGATTTGCTAAAATGCCACATACACATTTCTGATTCCCAGATATAATCTGGTTTGTAATCTCTTTTGGCTCTTGTCTTTGTCTTTTTGAATTGGGTGATATGCTTCTGGAAAACGCTGATTAAACTGTGAGTTTCCAAAACAAAGTTATTTATTTATATGATACTATAGGTGAAGATTTAGAGGAAAAGCCAAGTATGATCATTTTTGTGTACTCATGTGGCAAGGATGCTAATTTAATGATTTGCTTGTGATATGATAATTTGGAACAGTGGCTTGGAGGAGAGCAAGGTGATCAGAACTACTGCTCTGGCTACTTCAACTTACATATGCACCTTTCAACTCAGATTTTGACTGGGACACCTTCCAGTTAAGACAACTGGTTTTTATTTCGAGCAATGGTTCTCAAACTTTAGCATGCTTCAGAATCACGTAGAAGGTTTGTTAATTCCCACATTGCTGGGCCCCGTACACAGAGTTTTGATACAGTTGGTCTGGGGTGAGTCCCAGGAGTTTGCATTTCTAACAAGTGCTCATGTGATGCTGATGCTGTTGGTCAGAGGACCAGATCATACTTTGGGAATCACTGCATTGGGAAGCATCTGTCCCTGGTTCAACGTGTTAGGGTGTAGGGGTGGGGAGTTTGCTGGGGAGGATGGTGGGAAAAGATTGAAGAATGCTGATCATCTTGCTTAAGGTTTACCCAGAAGTGTTGACTTCAGAATTCTTCCAGTGTATTGCAAAGGTAAACATTAGTGACTAGTACTGATATTACTTTTTAATACTACATTTATTAATATTGCTTCTATTAATGAGAATTAGATAATGTTAGGAGTGACAGTAGATTGGATTATTTCTTAACATTGGCCTCCTCTTCCCCCTCTGGTTCTTGCCTCTTGGACCTGTGTCTCCTTCTGCCCCCCATAGCACACAAATATAGATAGCTTTCCTATAACTGTCTTTCAGAAATGAGAGAAATGATGAGATAGTATATGAGGTTTCTTGGAAAAGTTGTGAAATCAGTCAAGAGTACCATCATAATAAAAGCCTTATTCATTTGGCTTCTACCTATTCAGATTTTGCAGCAGTTAGGACAGTGCTTGGTTTGAAATGTACCTTTACAGTATTTCTAAAGAGTTTCCAAAACAAATCAGTGAGTTTAGGATAGTGCCCAGGAAATTTAAATTATTTAACGAAAAACTTCTTTCAATTTACTTCAGTACTTCCAGTTACATACAATTGTTTTATAATTAGAAATCAGTCTTATCTAATCATTTACATAAGCTACTTTCAATTTGTGATTAGGATTGTTAAGGCTTCATTGCCTTAGGAACACACAGTTCACATTTCTTATTCAGGTAGAATTTTTACCCATTTAGTTTAAATAACTGGCTTTGTTTCTTTAATGTAAAGTGCAAAATAATATCTACTTATTTCCTGTAAGTTTCAAGTCCCACGTTATTTTGGGTCATTCATATTTGTACCTGGTGTCTTTTGTATTGAGCGGACACTAGAAACCTGGTATGCAGTTCAAAGAAGAAACTGTGACCTCAGAGAGTTTCTTTTAATTTTGCTCATAAAGCATTTTTTTTTTCCGGATGTTACTTTCCTTTGAAAAATGCTCTGTGCTCAAATTTTCCTGGGATAAAACATCCCACCAGGTAAAGGATTTAAGAGAATTAGGCCACGTTTGCTCAATGAAATGTGGTCAAGTGGAAAACATCCTATCTTGCCAGCCCAAGAAAATTATGATTTGTCTGATATAGTAGTTAAAGACAATTATATTATTTCAAGAGCTGATGTTATATAGACATGAAATTATTAGGAGTAGTTTTTAGTCTTTTGTTAAATTATGTGTTGGTATTTCGATCTGAAGGAATTAAAGTCTGTAATCTAAAGAATTATTTGGAAGCAAAGCTGTTTTCGAACTTCTGTGGTGTTTTTCAACCCTTGTCCTCTTGGTGTGAAAACCAGCCTGAGTCAGATCCCTGAGGATTAAAGGATGAATGCATTACTCAGCACCCTGCAGGGGTTAGGTCAAGCACCCTGGCTTGGAAAAGTTACTCTTTTGCTTAGTAAGCCTAGAAATTTCAGGTCCAACTGCAGAAGGAGTGGTTCACAGTATTCTGCTGATTAACACAGTCCACTTGAAAACCATCTTTCACTCTTCCAGCTGTCCTTCCTCTCTGTTCCTGTGTAACTGTGTCTGAAGTTGCCAGTGGATTTTACTTATAGCAGCTATATTGCCACAGAGCTTGGTTCCCATGAAGCATCCCTGATGAAACCATCCCTTGACTTCAATAAGAAGTTGGCATGTTAAGGGAGAAGCATGGATACAATTATTTTAGTCTAGCAGAGGGTAATGCAGGTAGTAAGGGGAGTCTATGATAACACTATTTTGAAGCAAAGAATGGGGATTCTGGATCAGATGCCCACTAAGAATAAATATTCTTTTTTTTTTTTTAAGATTTTTACTGGGGAGTCGGGGAGGGGAACAGTGTTGGGGAATTGGGGAAGGGGAACATTGTGTTCTTCCAGGACCTATCAGCTCCAAGTCAAGCCATTATCCAGGGTGCAAGCTCAGCTCCAAGTCCAGTCGCCCCTTTCAATCCAGCTGTTGGGGGGGAGGGCAGTGGGGGTAGCCCACCACCCTATGAGGGAGTCGAACTGGCAACCTTGCTGCCAGGAGCACATGCTCCCAGCAGCTCAGTGGTAGCTCAGCTCAGGCGCAGCTCACCGGCCCATGTAGGATTCAAACCAGCGACCCTGTTGCTCAGAGCTTGCGCTCTTAACCAACTGAGCCACTCGGCTGGCCGAGGATAAATATTGTTAAAGTGTTAGCTAGAGAAGGGAACAAAGATGGCTTTTTGGGTTGATTAGAGCAACTGCTCTCCTAGGAAGGACTGCAGAGCCCTGGGAGAGTGGAGGGCTGGGGCTGTCTCCTGGGGCCAGCTCTGCCAACCTGAGGAAAGAACCTGCCTCTGCAGGGGTTAGGAAAAGGAAAGGATACCAGATAGGTGGAGATGTGTAAAAGGGCTGTGATAAAAAGCAAATCAAACCAGCAGTAAATTTATTTTTATGCTTACTGTGTTTGACTTTTCTTTCAAAGTTCAACTTACCTTGAAATAGAGCCAGGCAGTAACACTTAAATCATCTGGGATTTTTCATGCTTTCCATTTAACCATGTTTGTGCTCCAACCTGGACGTAGCTAAAGCCTCATCACCATGCCCATCGTCATGTACTAACTAGCGTTCATAAAGTATACAAACAACCAAAGTCTTTGGGTTTTCAAAAAGAAGGCTTTAATTGGGATTGCTCTTTGTTTTTCCAGGTAGCCCCGCCATGACCCACAGGAACCTGACTTCCTCCAGTCTGAATGACATTTCTGATAAACCAGAGAAGGACCAGGTAAGCAAAGAATTCTTGCTTCTTTGAAATGTAAGACTAAATGTATGTCTAGAAGATGCTGAGAAAAGATTAGAAATGATAGCTCCTGAGCTTAAAATGAATCCAATATGTATAGATGGGGTTTTTGCGCTTTTTTTCTGAGGGAAGAAGCAGTATGTGAAGGGATTTGAAGTTCAGAAGATAAGAATTAGAGCCTTGACTCCAGCCCTTACAGATGTAGCCTCTAGGGCAGTTTAAATCTTGGAGCTATAGTTGTCGCAGTTTTAAAATAGTAATAATAATTCCTATCTCAGGGTTATTGTGGGGATTAAATGAGATACTTCGTGGAAAAGTGCACTGATAAACTATAAAAGGCTAAGAAATGCTGGCAATTGTTAACTTTTGGGGGATACTTTAGGCAAAGGTAATATAGTCTTGTTAGATGTTTGTCTATTAAAACACATAGTAAGTAGCCTATTTGAAATGAAGAGCAATTAGGTTTTGAATCTCAAATTTCCTTCTTTAAAAAGAATGTATTAACCGAAACTGGGTTATTTTCCCAGTTGGGTGAATATCTGGTTGGATAATAGAAAATGGTGAGTAAACATAATTTTTCACTTTGGATGATAATGGATGAAAACTCTACCTGAATAAATAGATCTGAATTATATATTCCTAAGGCAATGAAGCCTTCTTTGTGACGATGTTCCTCTTTAACTGGCAGCGCTTATAATAGTGATAAGGTTTATAGGTCTTGGTGAATTGTAAAAAGTAGAGGAAAGGTGAAAAAAAATTTTTTTTCTTTGGAAGCAGCTTTGGGATTCTTTCTTACCAGCAGAATCCTCATAGGGCCTTTATCGTCTGTCTCAGAATGGATTGCTAGAAAAACCTTTGGAACTAATTTCATGTCTCTATTTTCTCCCAACTTAATATACTTTTCATAATATTGCCCTCATGTTTCTCCTCTGGATCAAAAGGTTATAATGATTTCCTGTCAAGTTAAGTTCAGAATTCCCTATTCGACTTTTAAGATTCTCTGAAATGGTGTTATCCTTCTCATCTTATTGGTGTTTCCTAGAAGAGGGTCTCTGCTCTGGTCAGGCCTAATTCTTCCCTTTGTATACTGAGATTAATTCTTGGTTCCTAGAGCTGCTTCCCCTTCAAATACTAATATGGACAGCTCTCCTCCTCTTCCTTTGCCTACGGCTACCTCTTGAAATGATCAGGGTGAAGGTCATTTAAATATGGGATACACTGGCGTGTACCTACCAGTAGCAGAAAAAGGAAAACTGTTCACTAGGGCTTGTTGAGAATATCTGCCAAAACAATTTTGTATATCGTGGTTCCATTCAGTATTTATCAAGCAGCATTCTGATAATGAGGTTTGCCAGGGGTCTTGATTCTGGATAAGGCAAGCATTTTTAGGAAAGGCTTCTTTTATTAGGCACAGCTCTTCTCTTGGCAGGAATTTGTCAATAAACAATTGGTAAATGCTGACTGAGAGAACTTTCTTACCTTCTTGGGTCTGTTCATATCTGGGCATATGCCGAAGAACTCTGACGGCGACAGATGTGTATTACGTAAAATTTTGATTCAGGTATTAGAAGAAATAGGCTGGAGCATTATGATTTGGGGGTGTTGATGTAAATTGCTATAAAACCTGTGTGATGGCAGTTCTTGGAAGCAGAATCTTGGATGCCTATTACTAACATCTCATATTCATTAAGGTTCGTGTTAAAATGAAATCAGGAAGATTTAATTCAGGAGTTTTGTACTTTTTTTTATTATTATTGGGGAATAAGGAGGGGAACATTATGGTTTTCCAGGACCCATCAGCTCCAAGTCAAGTTGTCATCCTTCAATCTTAGTTGTGGAGGGCGCAAGCTCAGCTCCAAGTCCAGTCGCTGCTTTCAATCTAGCTGCGGGTGGGGGCCGGGGGGTGGGGTGGGGGGGTGGTGTGCAGCCCACTATCCCATGCGGGAGTCGAACCAGCAACCTTGTGGTTAAGAGCATACGCTCTAACCAACTGAGCCATCCAGCTGCCCATTGGCTGCCCAGCGGCAGCTCAGCTCGGGCGCAGCTCACTGGCCCATGCGGGAATCCAGCAGGCAACCCTGTTGCTCAGAGCTTGTGCTCTAACCAACTGAGCCACCTGGCTGACCCCTGTTTTTTTGTTTTTAAAGCCATAAAATGAGGTTGATGTGTATAGCGTTACAAGAGTTACTACCCATCTTTTTTTGTATCTAATATAATAGCCATAGTTAATCCAGTGAGCTCTCCATCCCCTCCAAAAGGAAGTAGGTCTGTTCTTTGCTTCCCACCAAGAGTCTGAAAAGAAGCTTTGTAACCGACCCATTATCTCTTCTGCAACCAAAGGTAGAGTAGGAATTCAAACTAATAGTTCCAGTTTCTATACCTACTATTTTAGTAACTTCTAATACAAATGCTCCTGGATCATTTTAGGGTGGTAAGAAGAAAATGAGCATTCAGAGAAGATGAGGCTATGGCAAAAAACACAATAAACTCAGGCTTTTATTTTTTAACCTGCTTTTTTCTCTGTTTGGGTAAGAAAAAAAGGTTGCCAGGCTCGAATTTGTTTTGAAAAAGCTTTTATAATTAATTAGCCAATGTCCTGGAAATGATCTTGGCAGTGAAGTCAAACTTGTTCTGTATGCTTTTCCAAGTTGGCCCTAAAACTTCCATCCAACTGGAACTGAAGTTTCTGATTGACTGATTATTCTGCCTGGATACAATTTGAACAGTTGTGATTGTGCCCCACGACTTCCTGGAGCTATATAACTTCCCAGTAGTGCAAGAACTGGGTTTAACATTCAGAGTTATGAATAAGAGCAAAATTTCTCTTTCTGACAGCTACATAGTGGCAAAATTTGAGGGCATATTTTTTGTGAGATTCTGTTTTGGGAAAACAGTAGAAACAAATCTGTGCACTGTACTTTTTCTCTCTGGCTCTGCCAAGCCTATGTACTGATGATTTCAGTAGCGCTACCTTATTGAGAAATACCTCAGAATAGTTAACAGCAGAAGAAGAGCATAGCCAAAATTTAGGTGATTCAATGCTTCAACAATATTCCAACTTGGATGCTATATTTATTAAGCAGAAAAACACCTGGGATAGGGAGATTTAAAAAATTACATCTGGAGCTCATCTGCTTGTAACTCTTCATAAATAATCTCTTCTATTTTGTTGCTATGGAGGTTTTTTCCTTAATTGTCCACTTATCTTCCCCAATTTCCTTAGATTGATTGTTTTCTCTCTCTTTTTCTTCCTTTTCTGTTCTTTTAAAGATTTACAAGTGCAATGGGTGCTCATCAAATACCGTGGGTTTAATTCTCATTTTCATGTGAGTATGGAATCAGCTGTGAGGATAAAATCTTTCTCATCATGTTACCTTTTATCTTTAACTCTCTGGTGGAAGTACTGTGCTAAGTGGTGCAATGGCTTTACAAGGGATTGACTTCTTTTTCTCCGGGTTTCTCAATAATGCAGTAACATCTCACAATTACAAGACCAGCCTGAGTGAAATTGCAGTCCATAAATTGCAGTGGATGTAGTAGATATAGAAATACCTTGCAGATTCTCAGGAAGACACTTAGGACTCACATACTCTTGTAATTTATGTGGTCATCACTTCCATGATACTCATTATTTAGCTAGCTTTTCTGAGAGCCTCTCCATGGTCTTCTGGTGGAATTTGGCCTAAGGTTAATTTCTAAAGTGTATTGTAATCATTTTTAGCACTGTGTATTGACTTTTATCTTTAAGTATTCTTGGCTGTCTTGTTTATTATTTTTGAAGTTTTGGTCTTTTCAGAAATAGTCCTGAATTTAAATATTTTGTCAGAGAGTAAGAGGATGAAAGCATTAAACCACGTGTAAGTTTGAAATTGCTAAGCCATGGCTTCCTGAAAATGAAATCTAGAAATGCTTTGTGTTTGAACGACTCCTAATCCTTTTCTCACACATATGTAATATATAGGAGTGAGTCAGCTAAATTCAGCAGAGATGACTTCTTCATAGTTTTGAAGATTCCCATCCTAAGGCTCACATAAAGCCTCCCTTCGCATTAATAACTATTTCATATTCACAGTGACAGAGAAGGACAACGGCACCGCCTTCTCTTTTTCATGACTCAACCAGAAAACCCTCTCATTTACACTGAGCACGGGGTGGTCTTGCTCCACTCCCCAGAGAAGGTGCAGTGGGTAAGGAGGACTCATGTTTTCCGAGGTTATAATACTTGTCTTTAGCATGTTTTCAGGGACCAGTGAAACACTGCTGTGTCATGAGAGCTCCAAAGGGAATCACACTTGTGAAAACCTGAGAACAAAGGCGTGTTGTGAGGAGGCAGTTACCGCCGTCAGATGTCACTAAGTCACTATACTTTTGGTAACTGCCTTGTGCTTTCCTGTGGCTCAGCAGCTACAGCTTTCCTTCGCCAGGTGTCTTTGATTGGAAATTGTATAGCCATCGCAATGATTGATTATCTTTGGAGGGCCTTTGAAAGGAAGTTAGCTTGCCACTTAAGTAATTAACAAAACTGATGTTTGTCATCATCTATTCCTTTTCTACAAGAAATTTGACTTTATGTAGCTTTCTTCTCCCACCTTATGCTCTCTCCTGTATTCTTAGAGAATTAACAATCAGCGGTATTAGCATTGTTTGACAAGCACCGATATTCATACTGACATCAAGGACCCGTGTTCTTAAACCTGTGTCCCAATTTGAATTCAGACACAGTTGAATTTTCCCATTTTCATAATGCTATTCTTCCATGAAAGCCATTTATCTGGATCAGAAGACTAGCATTCATTTAAAAATAGGTTATGTGTCAGCTTGAAAATGAAGCAGATAAACCTGTCTAAAGTAATCTAAATTCAGTCTTGTGTTTTCAGGTAAGAAAAAGAGGAGCCTTGTAAAATTTAGAACTATGTTTTAAGTAGTAATTGTGAAGCTGCAATAAATTTGAACTTCTGAATCCCCCAATAATTGTATGCTGCTAT